TTCTCAAACTAGACACTCTAATTTCTAAGTGACACCTAACTTTTGAACGGTAGTGTGTGTATATATATTATATATATATATATATATATATATATACATATACACACACACACACAACACACAGTGCATTCGGAAAGTATTCAGACCCCTTGACTTTTTCCACATTTTGTTACGTTACAGCCTTAATCTAAAATGGATATAATTATTTTTTTTCCATAAATCTACACACAATACCCCATAATGACAAAACAAAAACAGGTTTTTAGACATTTTTGCAACAAAAAAATACATAATAATAATCACATCATTATTCAGACCCTTTGCTATGAGAATCGACATTGAGCTCAGGTGCATCCTGTTTCCATTGATCATCCTTGAGATGTTTCTACAACTTGATTGGAGTCCATCTGTGGTAAATTAAATTGATTGGACATGATTTGGAAAGGCACACACCTGTCTATATAAGGTCCCACATTTGACAGTGCATGTCAGAGCAAAAACCAAGCAATGAGGTTGAAGGAATTGTCTGTAGAGCTCAGAGACAGGATTGTGTTGAGGCACAGATCTAGGGAAGGGTACCAAAAAATGTATGCAGCATTGAAGGTCCCCTAGAACACAGTGGCCTCCAACATTCTTAAATGGAAGAGGTTTGGAACCACCAAGACTCTTCCTTGAGCAGCCGCCCGGCCAAACTGAGCAATCGGGGGAGAAGGGCCTTGGTCAGGGAGGTGACCAAGAACCCTATGGTCACTCTGGCAGAACTTCAGAGTTCCTCTGTAGAGATGGGAGAACCTTCCAGAAGGACAACCATCTCTGCAGCACTTCACCAATCAGGCCTTTGTGGTACAATGGCCAGATGGAAGCCACTCCTCAGTAAAAGGCACAGGACAGCCCACTTGGAGTTTGCCAAAAGACACCTAAAAGGACAAGATTCTCTGGTCTGATGAAACCAAGATTGAACTCTTTGGCCTGAATGCCAAGTGTCAGGTCTGGAGAAAACCTGGCACCATCCCTACGGTGAAGCATGGTGGTGGCAGCATCATTGTGTGGGGATGTTTTTCAGCAGCAGGGACTGGGCGACTAGTCAGGATCGAGGAAAAGGTGAACGGAGCAAAGTACAGAGAGATCCTTGATGAAAACCTGCTTCAGAGTGCTCAGGACCTCAGACTGGGGCCAAGGTTCACCTTCCAACAGGACAATGACCCTAAGCACACAGCCAAGACAACGCAGAAGTGGCTTTGGGACAAGTCTCTGAATGTCCTTGAGTGGCCCAGCCAGAGCCCGGACTTGAACCCGATCGAACATCTCTGGAGAGACCTGAAAATAGCTGTGCAGCGACACTCCCCATCCAACCTGACAGAGCTTGAGAGGATCTGCAGAGAAGAATGGGAGAAACTCCCCAAATACAGGTGTGCCAAGCTTGTAGTGTCATACCCAAGAAGAATTTCTTATTTTTAATAAATTTGCAAACATTTTTAAAAAAAACTGTTTTTGCTTTGTCATTATGGGGTATTGTGTGTAGATTGATGAGGGAGAAAAAAAATAAATACAAATAAAGAGCAGAGTATGCGTTTTGGAAGCCTCCCGAGTGGCGCAGTGGTCTAAGACATTGTGTCAAGAAGCAGTGCGGCTTGGTTGGGTTGTGTTTCGGAGGACGCACGGCTCACGACAATCGCCTCTCCCGAGTCCGTACGGGAGTTGCAGCGATGGGACAAGACTGTAACTACCAATTGGATACCACGAAATTGGGGTGAAAAAGGGGTATAAAAAAAGAAAGTATGTGTTTTGGTGGTGGAAGTATAAATAGAAAACAATTTCACACAGACATCTAAATGTCTTTGAGCAGGTGCTGGATATCAACATAAATTCAGTAAATGGTGAAAAGAGAATCCGTACACTGTATTCTGGGAGTTTAAATAACAAATCTGAGAAAGTATGCTATTTGGGCCTTCCCAAAAACAGAAGCCCCAGGCTATATTTGAAGTTCTAACCCCAATCTAAAGCCTCTTGAGCTGGGATAGCTTTTACACTTATCCCCTGATGTAAATGGTTTGGACTTCTACAGGATGTGCCATTGAATAGACTAGAGGATAGATAGAGTAAAAAGAGCCAACTGTATGAATGGAAGAACCACTACCGGACGTCCATTACCGGCAAACAGCTGTGTTCACTTCACATGGAAAATAAACCTCTAAGATAAATATATAGAGAGGGACTTCCACAGTACATAACCAATTAGCAATGCAATCAATATCTTTACACAGTGAATAAAATAAACATGTAACAGTAAAATTCTATCCAGTAGAGATTGGGACACTGGAATAATAAAATAATCAGAATTACGACAGATTTAAGATTTCCATGCAGATATGGACAAAATTATTTGAAGTCTATTATTTGAGGTTTTCTCAGTTGAATTTCCGCCATCGAATCTCACTGTAGATCGCTACCGATTTATCATGTGCAATTAGAGCTAATGGAAATGAATAATTGCACCTTTAAACACGACTTTTGTTAAGCTGCTCCAGTGTTAATAAAGTTGTGATGACCTTCCACATCAGGCAGGAAGGTGGTTTGTGATGAGAAGTGCAAACGAGATGAGCTGAGATGAGAGCATAGTAAGTAGAGTGAATAGAGACGACTGGGGGATTGATGTCTGTAGAGGTGGATGGGGAGCTGATATTGGGGGTCATTGAGCCCTGTGTGATGGATGACCTAAACTTGACGTCCTTGTCAAACGCCACGTCTTTGAAATGCAGACCTGAGTGTAGATGAGGGTCAGTGTGTGTGTAGTGTGTGTGTGTGTGCGGAACATTAATTCCTGCATGCTTGACTGGACACCTTGGCTAGGGACGGAGCGGGGGGGGGGGGGGGGGGTAAAGACACCACCTGTCCCACAATCCACCTCAAACACCCAGAGAGGGAGAGAGAGAGAGGGAAGAGATGGAATATTAGAGAGGGTAATGAGGGAGAGGGGGAAAAAGAGAAAGAAAGCCTCTGCAAAAACTGCAGTGCTGCAGAAAAGCCTCCTGCCAGGCCAAGCATGGACCGAGAGAGAGGGAGAGAGAGACAGACAGAGAGAGAGAGAGAGAGCGAGAGAGAGAGAGAGAGAGAGAGAGAGAGAGAGAGGGAATGGGAGAGAGAGGGGAAGAGAGAGAGCGAGAGGGGAAGAGAGAGATCGAGAGGGGAAGGGAGGGAGAGAGAGAGAGAGGAAGGGAGGGAGAGAGAGAGAGGGGAAGGGCTGACGATCTATCTCCTGAGTCTCTCGTAGTTCTCGTCCATCTTTTCCTCTCCCTCCTCGCGAAGGGAGAGAGAGAGAGGAAGCAAGAGAGAGGGAGAGAGACAGCATTAGCGAGTGAGTGTGTCAGCTGCCGTAGATCATGCAATTTCTCAGGCTCCCTCAGCCTCAGCCTCCTCCATTACATCACTGAAGATGAGGAGGAGAGAGCAGGAGAAGGAGGAGGAGGGGTTAGAGCTCGTAAAACACAGAGCACACAGTAAACATGTCTGCCCTCACATATGACAATATCCCTTCAGAGAGCGCTGGCTGACGTTGACCAGACTCTGTAGCTGGTTCCCACCCTGCCGCAGGTCCTGTACTATTATACTGTAGCCTCACAGACTCCCATGCAGGTTGGATGGATCAGAGCTAAGCTAGGCTAACGCTACGTTGGGCTAACTCGGTGCTCTCACTCACATTAACTCAGGAACTATGCTGTTAGCAGATAGCGGTATTAGCGGCTAACCTCAACTCTCACAGCGGTCCCTCTGGGGGTCCTGGGAGAGAGCGAGAGTGAGTGAGCATCACGGGTGTCCCCGGCTGGTGCCTGATTGTATTGGGAGAGAGAGTTGTGGGGATGAGAGGCGAATGTAAACATGGGTGAACTTTGACCCTGTGTAGCCGGTGGTCTTACCAGAGGAGCAGAGTAGCCTGGTGGGGTGGTGTGTGGGAAAGAACACATACACACACCATCCCTTCCTTCTGACACTTCCCACAGCCCTGATGACACCTCTGTGTAGGGGGAGCGCTATAAATCTACCAAGGGTATGATACGATCAGCAAAGCAAACATCACTTCAAAATCCCTGATAGGAAGAAAAAACTGTTTGACACACAGCTCAACTCAAGCACACCAAAACACCCCCAATCTACCCCTCTCTTTCACATGCTCATAGACTTCAACCATTTTGGATAATGGCCTTGTCCCATATGTTGACACACTTTGCGTGAGGGGCTGTCAGCATATTGAGTTGACAGACCTCAGTGCTTCGACAGAGAATGACAGTGAGTAGAGTGGGTAACGTTATGGGGTCTCTGTGAGGAACATGATGTGGGTCATGTTAAAGTGGCTCTCGTCTCTCAGCACGGCCAGGCCCATGCTTTTGAGGTTGGCTCACTGATCCCGGCTGGCTGGCGTAGTAGGCCACAGCCAACCGCTGGCGTACGAGAGTGTGTGAGGCTCCCTACTGTACTTCACACTAAAGTATTTAGCTGCCTTCAACAGGCACTCCACAGAGAAGATGAGCACTTTCGAGGAGGATCGTCTCATCTTTTCCAGTTACCTGAGGGGAGTGTTTTTGTAGGCTGTTGGATTGCCTGAGGGATATTTGACACTTCCAAAGGGACTAGGAGAAGCCGTGGTGTGATTGTAGTGCAGACCTGTGTTCAACTCTGTCTCTGTCAGCTTCTGTTCCATCAGTCAACTGGTTTGACCCACCAAGCAGCTTCTGAGTGGGGTCTCCCTCTATACATTTCTCTCTCTCTGGGTGGTTTAGTGGATGTTTCTGTCAGTCCTTCTGCTGAGCAGGATCTTTATAAAGAGGTCTGAGCGTCATGTTCTTATGGCCTTACGGTCCTTTCCCATGCGTGTGGTTTACTGAGCTGTCAGCAGAGTTAGAAGAGGTTAGATGAGTGAGAGAAGCCACACTGAAGGAGTACAATCAACTGAAGGGGAAATATGTACTCATCAAGTTCAAATATTCATCACATTAAACCATCTATCAGATCATGACATAGTCGACTTCGAGGTTGGGCATGTTTGTGACTCGTAGAACCAGTAACCCTTGTGGCCGGTTAAACCAAAGCACATGATCACCTGCTATTCCCCTAATCATAAACAGATCTGAGAGAGAGAGAGAGAGAGAGAGAGAGAGAGAGAGAGAGAGAGAGAGAGAGAGAGAGAGAGAGAGATGAGAGAGAGAGAGAGAGAGAGGAGAGAGAGAGAGAGAGAGAGAAGGAGAGAGAGAGAGAGAGAGAGAGAGAAGAGAGAGAGAGAGAAGGAGAGAGCGAGAGAGAGAGAAGGAGAAAGAAAGAGGGACAGAGAGGGTATTCGTCATATATTGTGGAATGCTGGTGAAACATGACAGTGACCAGAGACATCTAGTTATCTGGCGAGGGGGGATCAAGTTCTTAACCTCTCCCCCGACCCCGTGGTAAAAACAACAATCGCCCCTGATCTCTGTGTCACGCAACATCAAGACCAGAGTAAAGTGTGTGTGTGTGTGCGCGTGTCCATCGGTATGTGTGTGTGTGTATGGTTAAGGTAAAGACATGGTCTCTCCACAGTGGGCCTGTTTAAAATCCCAGTAATCCTGGGTACATCCCAAACCTATGTATTTACAATGAGGGTAATGAATCTTGGAGCTGTATAAGCCAGGGTCAATCAAGGAGCCGTGTTTAGGGGAGCCAGTGGGGTGGAGGGTTGGGTTTAAGAGGGGTGGTGGGTGTGGGTTGGAGGTGGTGGTTGGTGATGGTGAGGTGGTGGTGTTGGGGTGTAGGGTGGTGATGGTTGGAGGGTGGGGTGTGTAGAGGTCCCGTAGGGTGTTGAGGGTTGGGGTGGAGAGAGGTGGTGGTGTTGGAGAGGGTTGGGGGTGAGAGGAGGTGGTGGTGGTTGGAGGGTTGGGGTGGTAGAGGGGTGGTGGTGTTGGAGGGTTGGGGTGGAGAGGGGTGGTGGTGTTGGGGTTGGAGGGGTGGGGTGGAGAGGGTTGGGTGGGGTGGGTTGGAGGGTTGGGGTGGAGAGGGTTGGGGTGGGTGGGGTTGAGGGTTGGGGTGGGAGGGGGGTTGGTGGGGAGGGTTGGGGTTGGAGGAGGGGTGGTGGTGGAGGAGGGTTGGGGTGGAGAGGGTGTGGTGGTGGGGAGGGTTGGGTGGGTGGGGGTGGGGTGAGGGGTGTGGTGGAGGGTTTGGGTGGAGTGGGTGGTGGGATGGGTGTAGGGTTGGTGGTAGTGGGTGGGTGTGTAGAGGGGTGGTGGAGGGTTGGGGTGGAGAGGGGTGTATGGTGGAGGGTGTAGAGGGTGTGGAGGGTTGGTGGGAGGGTTGGGTTGGGTTGGAGAGGGTGTAAGTGGGTGGTGGTGGAGGGTTGGTGTGGAGGGGGGTGTAGAGGGTTGGTGGAGGGTTGAGGTGTAGAGGGGTGGTGGAGGGGTTGGTTGGTTGGTTACTGCAGAATACTGTCAACACATCTACAAAACTTCAGCACACAAGATGCAGCAGCAAGATGCAAATACAAAAATAAATGGCACTAGAACACATTGTGTTCTCCTTAACTCAATTTAAAATAAATTAGGCCTACATCTTCACATATGGACACTAATACAGGCTAATTTCACAAACAAAAACTCACACACCACAAAAACATTGCACAAGCTGTAGACTACACACACACCACTACCTTTCTCCCTCATGCAAAACGGAAAAACAACCTGCCATTTTACGTGGCGCTACAATCCTTCACCGTGTGGAGGGTTTAATGGCCTTCCCAGATTGGGCTTTAATTAGCTGTTAATCATCTATGGTGCTTAACGAGCATAGCAGCTCTGGCACTCAGTCTCTCTCTCCCTCTCCTCCCACTCCCTCCCTCCCTCCCTCCATCCTGCTGTCTGTGACTGGTGTTGCTGGGCCATTAGGAGCAGACAACGAGCTAAAAGAGCCAAACAGCCCCATTAACTCCTTCAGTCCGCTCATCTCTCTCTCCCCCTCTCATCTCAGCCTCTCTATTTCTCAACCCCTCACTGCTCATCTCTTTCAGTCTCCCGCTGTCGTTCTCTCTCTCTCATAATGTTACAGGAACCAGCTGAACCCTCTAATGCCAGCTATCAGTCATGAGGGGAAGCCCAGTCCGCCCCCCGTCTCTCTCTCTCTCTCTCCCCCCACCCTTCCCCAGGGTGATGGGACTAAATTCCTCTAATGGTGGCAGTATGTGAGGAGGGCCTCTTCTCTAGAATGAGAGGGTTTATGCCCAGGAGCGTTCAAGACACTCAATGTTCATTACAGATCAAAACTAACTTGCATTCCTTTCTCTTTCGGTGGACATTCTCCATGTTATTGGAGTTGTAATTGATCTTGTGACACACCTACGTGTTTTTGATACAATGTCAATGTCCTCCTCTGTTTTTTTCGACAACTGTAAAGGGAAACCTGCTGTGACATCTAGCCTACACACAACACAGTCTTAAAGAAATGGCATTTGAAATAACATTTAGCAAGATGGAGAACAATATCTTTCATTGTTCTCCTGAGGGACAGTCTGTCTCAGTAGCTCCAGGTGTGTTGGCCTGTCAGATATTCCATTACAGCTGGGGAGTGGGGCTGTTCTAGACACCACAGACACACTACTGACAGCTCTGTCCCTGTGGGCAATAATATCTGTTCCGTCACCATATGATGTCCCACTGGAACACATCAACTAAAGGAACTTCTGTTCCTACTGAGGTATTATTGATGGGAAATGCATTTAGATGTCCAGACAAAAGACGTGAAAACAGATAGTTTAAACAGATAATTGAAACACTGCTCTTCATCTATGCAGATTACATAATTGTTTCTATTGAGAACAACTGATACTATAAATTGTTGAATTTGAATGTAACAAAGATTACCAAAATAAGTAGGCAATGAAATTCAACTATGGTTTGATCTACTTCCAGTGTGTTCTCTCACAAAGCCTTGAGCCCTGAGATCCTGTGTTTATTAGGAGCACCTCAACTCATCCCCTCTCTCCACCTGCTCTCTACTCTACCTGCTGAGCTGCTCTGCTGTGCAGGATGGATCAATATCGGCTGGATTGGCACACAGTGGAGGAGAGAAACAAAGTGCTGGATCGATCTGCACTGTAATGGTGTGTGTGTGAGGCTGTTTTAGGTTGGGCATAATTGCCTCTGCACTGGAGGGGGCAGAGCACCACGGGAATTACAGTGAAGGGAAACGAGACCATTACGGATACACAATAGTTGAATCACAGCAAGAAACATATTTGATTACCACGCTCAGTGATACTCTATGGAAGAGATCAGAACTTAAATCACATTGGGAGTTCCTACTATGCTTAGCGGTAGGGGGACCGTTAAGACGTGCTAAGGACATCTGAGTTTCATGTGAAGACCCCTTCACTGAATCCCCCCACGGCTGCAGTCAGACAGTGTCACAGAGCAGTGCACCTTACAGCACTGCCAGTTAACGGCAGTCAAACTGTCAGCCAGCCAAACGCTGCCCTGGTCACTAACTAGCTGTAGGCTCCAGTGGTCCGCCTACCTACTGTACCATCTGCAGTAACAGCCTGTTCTATAGATCATCTGTCCACTAGACGGTAGCACACTGTAGATCAGAACAGCAGGACACACACTGCTGTAGCAGAACTATGTCCAACTGTCCAATCACCACACAGCCAGGCCATCTGACTGGGGATAGCATACCCAGCTGGAAGGAAATGTGGGAAATGCGTGTGTGTACATGCTTATGTGTTTGTGTGTGTGTTTGTGTCAGACACAGGTCTGTCCATCTGTGAGTGTGTGGCAATGAGTCTATGTGCATGTGTGTGAGTACATCGACGACAGCAATGTGTGTATGTGTGTCTGAGTGATTCCCGAAACAACTCCCCCCCCCCCCCCCCCAAAAGCCATCTCTGTGGCGTTGGTGTGTCACACCTCAGGTTGTGTGATTAATGACAGGGGCTGGGTCCTATCAGCGTCCTGATTAACATCACGACACAGGTCACAGAGCACAGCCTGATCACCACAGCACAGCCTTCCCTGTTACCTCATCAGCACTCATTACCACCACTGGGCAGAGACTGGAGAGAGGTCGGAAGTATCTAGGTCCTAAAAGACATGCCAGTAGTAGTATCGTCAAACCATATGGCAGGGCTGGACAGCTTGATGGTTACTAGCTCTGCAATATGTATCTGGGAGAGCATCTCAATCGTCGGAAGTGGTTTATGTGAATCCTTGTTTCGGGAAAGGAGAGAGGGGAGGAAGCCATTAGACTATTTGAGACGTTCATTATTTCACAATCTTCAGCGCAGTATTCTCAACGCAATGGTTTAAACAGTTTGAGCATGACACCACAAAAATATGGAGCTTTTTGACCTTCTGGAACTTCTGAAACAGGAGAGAGGAGATATCTAATCTTGAGCACAATCTCTGCTGCTTCTCCGTGTGTGTAGGAGGCGACTGCAGTCACTGCGGTGCTATAAAACTATGACAGTCATTCTGACATCAACTAAATATACACAGGTCTAGTGTGCTTGGGGACAGGAGGGAGAGCTCAGAAACAGGACACTACATCATCCTCCTCAATAACCCCTTGGAGAAATGTGAGATTGCTTTGCCAGCAGAGTTACCAAAGACAGAGCCATGTCAGAGGAGCAGGAGGCTCAGGTAACAGGAAGGGAACGGCGCTGGACAGGAAATAACACTCTCTCACCGTCTCTTTTCATTAGCATTTCCTGCTAAACTAGCCTAGCATGGAGGAGGGGTAGGGACTTGACAGGGCTTCAGAGGAGTGGTTTGATGACATGTGAGGAAGACAGTGCTGTGTGTGTGTTTATGTGTGTGTGTGGGTGTGTGTGTGTGTGTGTTTATGTGTGTGTGTGGGTGTGTGTGTGTGTGCATAACTGCATATGTGCGTGTGACGTACCAGTCTGTTGATGCGTACAAACTCCTCGGGGGTCTTGGCCCACGGCGGCAGCTCTACGTCAGACACCACAGTCCCATCATCCATCACTCCCAGGCTGTAGTTGTTGGCGTTTACAAACATCTCAGAGAGGTAGTAGAACTCTGGGATCAACTCCTGGACAGACAGACAGACAGACAGAAGAAGAAGTGGGACATTAACGCCCAATTCACACTATAGAGGCAACCTGAACCGTCCTTTCACAAAGTGCTTTAATGTTCATGTACTGTTAGTGTAAATAGTACATTCTAGAATAGTTTTGTCTAATATTTGTTATCAATAAATGAACACTTTTAGTTAATTAGGGAGAACACTATTACAGTAAGCCATTTTCTAATTTGAATAATACTGCTAAGATCCTCTGAGATAAAAGCCTCCAGTCCCAGTGTGTGTTACACTACACTAGAATATGTGACTACAGAGTATCCACATCATGACAGCCAGGTATAAAGAACAGGGGACTTTGACCTTCAGAGTGTGAAGCTACAGTTTACAGAGATAGTTAATTAACAGAAAGAAAGACAGAAAGAAAGAAAGAAAGAAAGAGAGAGAGAAGCCACTGTGTAAAGTACATTTAGAATGCAAGTGGAGATATGAGTGTGTGTGTGTGTGTGTGTGTGTGTGTGTGTGTGTGTGTGTGTGTGTGCGTGCGTGTGAGCGGAAGGTCCTTTAATCTGGGACTGCCACTGTCGTCCCTCAGACAGCTAGTCAGACGCTAGTCGCAACACTTGAGCTGTGCCATTACTCATGGAAATTACATTTCAGACTGCTCATCTGCTGCCTGTCTGCTACCACACTGCAGGCAGGCACTCTGATAAAAGGCATCAAAACCTAGTGTGTGTGTGTGTGTGTGTGTGTGTGTGTGTGTGTGTGTGTGTGTGTGTGTGTGTGTGTGTGTGTGCGCGCGCACTGGGGTTTCCAATATGATATTCTATTTTCTATGCTTCTCAAAGGATGTTATGTAGGAGTAGAATGAACGACAGGCCACAGAACTCACCAGAATGTGATTGTGTGTCTGTGCACAGTTTAATACTTCGTTATAGAATGATGATATTGAAAGATGGGCCCAAAAAACATTAACGTTTGTGTAAACTGAAGAGCTCAAATGTTAAGACCTTGAGGATATCAACTTTTGTTGAAACCGTGCTTCATTTCTAACAAACCATAGCTCAGCCTCAATGTGTATGAAATGCCTTCATATACAAAGACATAAATGTTTAGATTATGGGGTGAACCAAAACATATCCTGATAAATCTTTGCCATCCCGCAAACATAAATAAAACACTAATGTCGTTAGGAGTGTGTGTGGGCAAGGGTAACTAACTGGCGAGACTGGTCAATGTAAGCATGTGTTGAATTAACCCAATTCCTGGCGGCTCCTGATATGTTGAAGAAACAATAGCATGACACCAAATGTAAATCGAGTGCTTAATCAGCGTTCATCTCCCCCTTATGATATACTGAACCTACCAGTCAACATAACGAGTGTCAAACATTAACTACTGCCATATTCCACAACAGGGAATTGAACAATGGATTTACGCATGGACCGAGCACTCGTATTTCAAAATGATACATCCAAAGCTAGCATATGACAGATACATAAACAGAGCACCACAATTATGAAGACTCAAGCCACAATAGAAGTATAACTCTTAATTTTATTCCACTATAAAACAACAGCTAGTGAGTGAGTGAGTGACTCCTAATAAAATAGCCTGAGGAGCTGTTGTCTTGTAATGTCTCCTGGGTCGTGTTCAGTTGGCACAAAACGTACGAAAACAGAGTGAGATGGGGAGGTACTACTTGTCCGAAACGGAACTAGTCCAATAAGGAACACTTGGGTTTTTTCAGTTGCAAAACGTTTTGCTACAGTGTGTGTAACCCTAACCCTAATGAACACAACCCAGTTCTGTCTGACTAGAGTTGAGCCAGTTAAACCGTCTCCTGGGAAGTGTACAGTTGACACAAAACGTACGAAACGGAGTGCCTAGGTTTTGCTACGGTATGACTTAATGAACAAGACCCTGAACTCTTTGACAGAACACAGTGTGACTGGGCCTGCTGACTGGTCACTGTACTGATGGACAGAGAGACAGAGACAGGGTGACATTCTGACATCAGGGATGACTAGACCAGAGTCAACACCCATCTGTCATGTCCTTGTCTTCTTGTGACACGGCTGTGTATGACAACCTGACATGCAAATACATAATGGCAAAGAGGCTACAGGTAGGAGTGGCTGGGAACTGGTCAGCGCATGTGATCGGATGTTCTGTAAAGGCTGCACGCATGCATGCACATGCACGCAAAACACACGCGCACACACACAGAATCCCTGGAAGACTGTCTATCAATCCATCAATCAAGCTCAGACCTGAGAACAGTCCTCACTGCGTCCAACAGTATGGAGACAAATACATGATTAGACAGGAAGCCAGTGAGTTCACTTCCTCTAGATGTGTTGTGTGTGTGGTAACCCGAGGCATGGGGCGGTAGCTAGCCAGGGAGACACCCTGTGTCAGTCCATAACCACATATCCAAACCTACAGATGGACCTGAGGGGAGGTCAGTCAGGAGAGAAAGAACCAAGCACATGTTTGGTCATCACTACCAATCCATGTCATACTACCATGAAAGCTTCAGAGACTACTGATCAAAGGTTCAAACTAATCCTGATTTCTACCCTCCCCACGCTGCCCCGCCTCCTCCCCCCGCTGCCCCGTCTCCTCCCTGCCTCCTCCGCTACTTCAGTCAACCTTGAATTGAACCTTTGGCCCATTGGGCCCCTTCTCCACTGGGCTTTGGGTCTATGGCAGGTCAGACCAATCCTCATCTACAGTTTGGGTCTCTAAGGCCCCAACCCTCCTCTTTAACAAGTGACCCACGCTCTTAAAACATTTATGAGTACAGGCAGCCATCTTGTTTCAAATGTAGACTTGGCCTGCTCTTTTGGCCTGGGTCGGGTGGAGTGGTGGCTGGGGGAGTTGGAAGGAGTTGACGGTTGATTGCACTTTGCCTCCAATGATGAAACATATGGCTCGCATTACCGGTAACACTTGATTGCGAAAGCCCAGGGAGAGAGAGAGAGAATCTAGTCTCAGTCTAGACCTGTCACAGTGGATCAACCACAAGAGCTCCACTCTACATCAAAACACACAGGTCCAGGCTCAACCCTGCACTCAATAACACGGCTTCCATGTTGAGTTTAGTTTAGCTCAGTCAAAATAACCTTCTGGCGACTTTCCTCGCATGGATGATCTCATTCACCTTGTTAACAAAGAGGAGTTACAAATGAGATGTATCAATTTAGCATGCTAAGTATACCATTTAGCTTTAGCTTCAGGACTATTGTAAGAAACTCTAAGAACCCCTCTATTCCTTCTGAAGGGGTAAAAGTCTTAGTGTGTTTTGTATCCCAGTGCATGGAGGGGTGATAACAGGTTAAAGCCCCCAGTCCAGTCTGTCTGTAGCGTAGGAGAGACTGTGATGACCTCCGGCCACAATCCCCTGACCCCGCCTGACCTTTTGCCTTAGCCCAAAGGCATCGCTGTGTGTATGTGTGTGTGTGTGTCAGTGTGTGTGCACTGTTGAAGTGTACTAGGGGGGAGGGGGGCCTGGGGCTGCGGCCCCTGCAGTGACCCGTGACAGGACAGGATTGGGGATCACAGAGGCTGGCCTCTGACCACTGCAGAGCAGGGGCCACTGCACATAATGGTGGGACCAGGGCAGAGAGTTTAGCAGAGGGGTGAAGCGGGGTAGCCCCCCGTATTTACCCCACCTTGTTAAGAGGGGCCATGGGGGGTGAGGGGATGAAGGGGACCACCGGCCCCCGTGCCGCCACCTCAGACTGGACAAATTTACACCAGGCCTCCCCCGGTCGACCCCATGGAAGCCGGAGGCCTCGTAAAATGGCCGACCTTCAGTTTGAGGTCAGGTTTTGTGGAGTGGAGAGGTTTTAGATGTGAGGAAGTGGGGTTGTTGTTTTTAGCCCAGTGTGTTTGTTTGCTCATTTGATTAGCCACTTTCTCTCTCCGGTGATGAGAGGGGCATTTGAGAAGGCTTTAGGCTAATTCAACGAAAAGGGTGTAATTTGAACGTTGATTGTTTGGAATATGTTTGGAAGATAATGTTGACATTTGACCCCCTAGCTTTGAAGAGCATATTAACAACATATTCTTATATGCAAAATCTGATTCCACTATCTAAATCAATAGATATCCATCAATAACAAACAAACTAAAATGTGTTTATTTCCACACAGAAAACCATAATTTTATCAAAACACTTCTATCACAACTAAAAGGTAACCCGTCTTTAGAGACTGATACCATCCCCTCCTCCTATACTAGTATGTTCCCTGGCTCCTGGGGTCTGGACAGTGTTGGCTTCTCCTCACACTGGGAGGCTGCTGAAGGGTCTGGAGGTGTTGAGGGTCTCGGTGTGTGTGAACGTCCAGAGGAGTGTGCAGACTGCAGAGGCCCTCTCTAGCTGATACACTGTCTGTCTTTCAGCAGCTAACTCCACTGTGAGGAGGCGGCGGCAGTGTGTGTGTTTGCGTGTATGTGTGTGTGTGTGGTATTTGGTGTGTGTGGCTGTGTGTATGTGTGTGTTGCTACCTTGACGTCGGACGTGTCTCTCTGGCAGTTCCTCCAGGCTCGGGACACGGAGGAGAAGGTGCGGTCAGCGTGGTCAAACTTCCCTCCCTGGAAGTTGAGGAACATGGTGGTGAAGGGTTCCTGGAAAATGAGAGAAGAAGAATGAGAGAAGAAGAAGGAGAGAAGAAGAAGGAGAGAAGAAGGAGAGAAGAGAATGAGAGAAGAAGAACGAGAGAAGAATAATGAGATAAGAAGAACGAGAGAAGAAGAACGAGAGAAGGAGAGAAGAGAATGAGAGAAGAAGAACGAGAGAAGAAGAATGAGATAAGAAGAACGAGAGAAGAAGGAGAGAAGAGAATGAGAGAAGAATGAGAGAAGAAGAAGAAGAACGAGAGAAGAGAACGAGAGAAGAAGAAGGAGAGAACGATAATTTATCCACATATCCTGCTAATGGTGTGCTGTGACGCTGTAGTGTACATTTGAGAAAAAGGAGAAGAGGACATGACAGTTGACCCCACATCCTCATGATTAAGTTTTTATACTATAGAAAAAGTAGTCTGAATGTGTACACTGAGTATACCCCCTCAGAACAGCCTTAATCAGTCAGGGAATGGAGTCTACAAGGTGTCAAAAGTGCTACATAGGGATGCTAGCCCATGTTGACTCCAATACTTCCCACAGTTGTGTCAAGTTGGCTGGATGTCCTTTGGGTGGTGGAACATTCTTGAAACGCACGGGAAACTATTGAGCGTGAAAAACCCAGCAGAGTTGAAGTTCTTGACACAAACCGGTGCGCCTGGCACCTACTACCATACCCCTTTCAAAGGCACTCTTTTGTCTTGCCCATTCACCCTCTGAATGGGACACATACACAATCCATGTCTCAAGGCTTCTTTAACCGGTCTCCTCCCCTTCATCTACACAGATTGAAGTGGATTTAACAAGTGACATCAATAAGGGATCATAGCTTTCACCTGGATAGTCTATGTCATGAAAAGAGCAGGTGTTCTTAATGTTTTGTACACTCAGTGTATGTACTGCAGTTCAATGTGTATATTCCAATAAATAATAGCATTTTCTATTGGCTAAAAAACACTTGTCTTGCAACAACACTCAAATCTAGCATTACATTTACGTAAATTGCTTTTTAAGGTAATATCTTACACCTAATACCCTTAATGCAATGGCGACAGATTGTCTGACTACTTGACACTTTCTTGTCACAAACCGCTGAAATTAACTAAGTGAACGGCAAGCGTCACTGTGTGACTGTAAAGCCTATAGAGTTGTGTTATTGGTGCGTTTCTAATCACGCTTAAATCTTGCTTGTGTCGATCAATAGACTGTCCCTCCGAAACAATAGCCCCCAAGTGAGAAGGACACAATTAGCCAGGCTAACGCTACTACAACGACACAGGAAATGACATGGACAATTAGGACAGAGACCAAAATGACCTCAGAGGAGGAGTACTGATCAGTTTAGCCTTTTAGATCATAATGAATACGATAATATGGACAGGGGGGGACCTGATTCTAGATCAGTACTCCTACTCTGAGATGATTTGAATACAGGCCCAGGCCTTTTAAGGTCTGTCCTAGTGTTCATTTGGTCTTCCTATCCCGTCCATACGTTGACACTTGAATTGAAGGGCTTTTGGTAAAGTGGATTTAAAATAAGCCAGCAATAAGCCAGCTAATGATGTGATGGGATCAATGGTTGTTTCCATAGGGAGCTACTGGGACAATTACAGGACAATCCAAGGGCTCTGGGAGAAGGTTAGAACCCCTCCCTCTATGGTAGAACAGTCCCCCGTAGTTGGTATAGAAAGAGTGATGGTATCTAATATTGGCAGTATGAGGGTTTCATACAGTGATCAATATAACAGAACACAATCAAAATGATCACGTGGGAGAAAGATAACTTAATGAAAGCTTTAGATTGAGTAGTTCAGCAGCAGACGTAAAAAATGATTACAGAATAATAGCCCCTCACTAAACAAAGCTAAATTCAATACGTATTGCTGAACTTATTACAAATAAAAATCATTTCAGAGTTCCTCTTATGTTGCAAAGCAGACACACAGAAAGAAAATCCGACACATGATGAATTTTGCTTCGGCGTGCTACTTCTCTGTTTTACGAGCAGCACAACATGTAAATAAATAACCATGGCGAGCCAGGGACAATCCTCTGTGCATAAGTTTGCATGTAGATCGGGCCTATATTTCACTATGACATAAATCAACCCGACTCTTTATGCGTCCGTGTCCAATTATAAAACAACAATTAGCTGCAATGAGGTGTGCTCCATGTCTAATGATGAATATTTAGTAAATATTTCAACATGACGGGTTTGTGGCAACTATAATGTATTCATTTCTAAATGTAATCTGTTTTTCATAAAACAGTGACAAAAATGTAGGCCTATTTTCTCATGTTTTACATGAAACAGTTGATATAAAATCCTATTCTATACACATTTTTCGTGGTGGTATTTAGTATTTTCATTTAACCTTAAAATGTACCAGGTTGAACCATTGAGGTCAAAAGAAGTCTTTAGCAATGTTAATGTGTCAAAAAGGCAAGTTATCTTTACAAGCGAGGCATTTTATTGTCACATACACCGGATAGGTGCAGTGAAATGTGTTGTTTTACAGGGTCAGCCATAGTAGTACGGTCACCCCTGGAGCAAATTAGGGTTAAGTGCCTTGTTCAAGGACACGTCGACAGATTTTTCACCTTGTCGGCTCGGGTATTCGAACCAGTGACATTTCGGTTACTGGCCCAACGCTCTAACCGCTAGGCTACCGGGGTGTAGGTGGGGTGGATATAGTTTGGGTATAATTGGGGGTAGGTAACTTACGATGCGCAGCAGCCACATCTGGGTGAAGGAGGAGGTGGAGTAGTGGGTTCCGTAGTGGAACTTGGGCACCTGGTCGTCCTCCCAGGATTCATAGCGGTCGTTGAAGAACGCCGCCCTCTTGGGGTTCAGGGCACCAATGGGCTGTGAGGAGTAAGAAACGTAAAATGTTATTACAACGTTATTACAACATTAGAGAGACTGATAGACAAAAAAATGGATAGAGAGATAGAGATAAAAGATAGAGAGAAAGAGTGACAGTACAAAAAGAAGAAAGAAACATTTTATAACACAGTACATTGAACTCTTTTAGCTTTCAGAGAGAGCAGACATTGCTTCAAACCCAGGGCATATATATTCAAATGATATTGGTAACCTTTGTGCATTCGTCGAATGAATATTAGATGCTGTTTTGTTTTGAAGATCAATCCATTCCAACAGAGTGCATTTCACTTCATAGCCCTGAAACACAACCCCCTGCGGCTAGTCTGTCAGAGAGAACGAATGTGTTGCGATGAAAGGAGGCCTAGGAACATCAATAGCAAGGGCCGGGAGGTTCCTTTTTCCTTTTTTATTAATCTGTAGCTAATACACTGGTCAGGAGACGCAGACGCCATTGTGGGTCTAAAAAATTGATCAGTTGCATTAATTTTCCATTGATCTCAGAGAAACCAATACCCGCCGGAGCCTGGCTTATTATTTAAATGCTCATTTTTAGAAATCACTTTTTTACCCATTACATTTTTATTAGTCTTTTATTAGCCTCCTCTTCATCCCTCGCTCCAAACACACCTCCTCTCTGATCAATGGTAATGGAATGATGGCCTTTTGAAGATGAAGCACTGGCTGGTGGATCGATAGGCCCTCTCTCATATCATAGTGCTGTCATGGGAGGCCTCGTCCAGGCAGGGGAGAGGCTATTGATCTGATGCTGCTGTTACTGTGTCGGGTGGGTGTAATGGTGTGTGTGTGTGTGTGTGTGTGTGTGTGTGTGTGTGTCTGATTGTATCCAAGGGTGCACCCATTCAAGACCGTACCCAATTACCTTCCTTATACTCGAACAACTGGAAAAGAACAGGAACACACCAACACACACACACCAACACACACACCGCCTCATGCCGACACAGTGTGCTGGGCTATGCTGACAGTGACACACTGTTGGCTTACCCAGGGCTACTGGGGGTGGGAGTACACACACTGAATTATACAGTACAACGATTGGACTGATTTATTGCCGTAATAACCGTAGAGCTCATTAAAAAAAGAAAAGGCTGGAAGACGAATCTAAAATAAAAAGAGACTGAGTGCAGAGCAATGAGAGAGAGAGAGAGAGAGAGAGAGAGAGAGAGGGGGGTGGGAGGGGGGGGGGGGGGGGAGGCAAGATAATAAAAGAAAAGAGGGGAAGAGAGAGAGAGAGGAAAGAGAGAGAGAGAGAGGATGATAGAGAGAGAGAGAGAGATAGAGACAGAGAGAGAGAATAAGATAGAAGAGAAGAGATACGATAGACAGAGAGATAGAGAGACAGGAGACTAGAGAAGGAGAGAAGAGAAGAGAGAGAGGAGAGAGAGAGAGAGAGAGAGAGAGACAGAGAGAGAGATCTACACTCTACATTGTTTACTGCTGTAAATTACCGCCGGGTGGAGAGCGTTGCGCGGCGAGGAGGGCGGTACAATAGAGCGGTGGTGACAGCGTCGTACATCAGGGCCGTCCCCGGTGAGGAGCGCCCTGATCGAGTGAAAGCCACCGATTGGGCTAATATGTTCAGGCGGTGCCTGCGAATAGCACTTTGACGAGCGGTCGGATAAATGAGCTGCTATCGTTGTTTTTAATTAGACTTTGAATGGGAATGAGATTAGAATAAGCAATGGATGGAGTTAGATAGTGTTACTGCTTCAAAGAGGAGAATATGGGAGACTTTAATCTTGGATAAGGGTTTCATCTGTTGTTCATCAAGAATGTAGATTCGGTATGTGTTGGGAAATGGTTATTGTAGAATCATTATTACGCCATAGATTTGGCTTACACTTATAAAAGTACTATTCTAGCCAACTGCTACCCATAACCACTCAACTATACAAGAGGGGGTTGGTGATGTGTAATCTTTTATGTGATGCTAAATCCTCTAACATATTGGAACCAGAAGAAATGCATCATACAGTAACATGTCATTGTGCTGATATACTGTTAGCAGATCAAATAGATATTTATGTTCTCAAATGATTCTGATCACAGGCACAAATAAAATAATTCAACAGTTAACCGACATTCAATCTAATATCAACCGGATAATACTAAAAATCATTCCATACAGCAAATATATCTGGCTAAAAATGCTATCAAGATGAGCAGAAACCAGACAGTAGCATCTAATTAACCATTATAACATTACATCTCTCCAAATTATAAGGGTCAGCAATGGTATAACAAACTATACTGTTTCCTTCCACATGTTAGGATTCTTTGACAAAATAAATAGCTAATTTAGGAAGGCTCAGTCTAAGTTTTGCCAGAAAGCCTTGAGACATAAATCAAACCATGGTTTTGAGAGAACTGTTTATATATAATGTCCTATTTAAACAGTGAGAATGACGTGGTGTTGGAGGGGTGTGAGAAAACATATGGGACGCATCTTGAAATCAATACCCCATTAGCCCCCTCGACGGTGCCAAAGTACGAGGGCCCTGGAACCGCTCAATATAAAGCTGCGTTATTTTTGCTACATTGCAAATACAGGACCCCAAACCTGTACAGGTCAACACCTCGTTCAAGCATCCCATTTCAGGAGTCCTTCCAAATTGCCTGTTTAAAAAGGCCTCACTGTTAGAGCAGGGGTGCGTCCCAAATGTCACCCTATGTCTTACATCGTGCACTACTACTACTACTACGGAGCGTCCAAAAGTAGTGCACTAGATAGGGAATAAGGTTGTCTAGTGTAAGGCCGTGTCCTTATCGCGGTGACTACAATGTTATCTCAGGGCTGGGTTTCATGTCAGGCCGAGGTTAGAGTTTAGGATAACAAAGACCCCCGGGGTATGAACGGAATCGCTCTGACAGAAGGAATATAAATTTGAGAGGACATGCACTCGCGCACGCACACACGTATGCACACGCACGCATGACAGTGTGTGAAACGCAGGCGTTCGTGGCAATTTCAGCCTCTCAATGTCACAGGGGTCTCATATGACCTGTTTCTATCAAAGCAGAGCACGACATGAGAGGGGGAGGGAGGGAGGGAGGACAGAAAAATTATTATAATTTGGGGGATGCTTATATTTGTCCTGTTACACACAAGTGTGTAATGGAAATGTTTTTTTTTTGCATATCCCAACTCCCCCTGAGAGACGCACAGAAGGAGGGGTCACGGCCAGGGTCGCCATTGTACAGCAACCCTGGAGCAATTAGGGTTAAGTGCCTTGCTCAAGGGCACAGAGACAGCTTTTTTTTATAAAAAATTTTTCACCTTGTTGGCTCCAGTATTCGAACCAGCAACCTTTCGGTTACTGGCCCAACGCTCTAACCTCGAGAAAAAGGAGAGAGCGAGAGAGAGCGAGAGAGGGATGGAGAGATATCAGAAGGGAGGGGGGGTTATGATGAACAAAACAAAAAGAGTAGACATTAGAGGAGGAGTATTGAGCGTCGGAGCGGCTGTCCTTTCCCAGACGATGCAGTCTGCCACACTCCGCTGGTCATACATTGATATCACACCGTGTCAACAGCATGAATAAAACTGCTGTAATAAAGATTGGTCCACCTCGCATCTCTCCTTCCTTCACTCCCTCACTCTTCAATGAGAATGGGGGGATGAGAAGAGAGAGAGAGAGAGAGAGAGAGAGAGAGAGAGAGAGAGAGAGAGAGAGAGAGAGGGGGGGAGTAGAAAGGGATAGAGAGAGAAACAGGGAGAGATGGAGGGGCAGGGAGAGAGAGAGAGAGCGAGGGTGACAAAAAAGTCTGCCCACAATCCCCTCTCCTCCTTTCCCTTGTTCTGTCATTCTCACTCTCTCTTCCCTTGTTCTATCTCGGCCCCTCCCTTCCTCTCTCTGCTGCACAGTTTCTCCCTGGGGCGTTGAGGCTTGACTGAGCACAGAGGCTGAGCTGTCCAAACTCTGGAGGAAGGGGGGGGGGGGGGGGAGGGAGGAGGTGAGAGAGGCAGCTATGGCTGTCATGTGTCAGCCTAGTGGGCAAAATGAAGCCCAAATAAACAGAGCGAGGGGGGAGGGGTACACAGCCGCATGGTGGGAAACACCACACTAGGGAGGTAGAGAGAGAGAAACGGTGATGGGAGGACTGGTCAAAGGAGGACTGCTTGGAGGGCGGTGTTGATGTGTACGACAGGATGAGTGTATGAGTGTGAGTGTGTGGGCGTGTATGCAAGTCGAGAAGCAGTTATGGCAATGACAGTTCACAAAAAGGCCAGAGAAGTCTTTTCAAGAGAGCATGCATTAACTCCAGCTGAATCCATCCTCAGTCATAGCAAGATGGATGCTTCTGCATTCCACCACTGCCTCAGAATCCTTTGCCAGCCAGGGCAGACTTAGGCCAGATGCACCATTATAAGTGAATGGCCGTCTCTGTGTGGCTGTAGAGTGCATTACTTCCCAGGTATACCCTGCCTGTCCATTACTGCACATGCCTGTTGTTTCCTGTGGTCTGGCTGATTTATTCGGCCATTTTGGCTTAAGCCAGACACGGGCGCTCCATCATCTCACTCTCAAAGTAATCCTCTGTCCTCCCACCATTGGGCGCCATTACACACAATTAATGGCCGTTCTGGGGCCTCTGCGACTGGCAGGCTTTGGAAATGGGCCTTTTAAAAGTGTGTGTGTGTGTGTGTTGTGTGTGTGTTTTAAAAGCGTAAGGAGAGGAGAGAAAGACATCTTCCATTGTTCTAAGCTTAATCATCAGTATGGAGCGGGGTTACTAGAGAGCATTCCTTTACTTCAGAGGGAGCGTCAGAAGGGGACTTGAGACTGTGACTTAAATTAGTAAATAATGGAGTTTTGCACATGAAAGAGAAAATGCAATTTTAGACTTCTGTCCAGGTCAAATACAAAATGGAGTCTTGGTATTACATTACTTCCTCTATAGGTATGTAAGAAGTGATACCATCTAAGAGTACCCCTTTAACCTTACCTTATGCTTCCTAGTTGAAACACTTCGCGCATATATTATGACGACATTTTGTGAAGTTTTTGTGACATTTTGGTGTTCGACAGCATTCTGCTTTTTTTGTGTGTGTATGTGTGTGTGGGGGGGGCTGTTCAAGCGCACACATTTTTTTTTGGGGGGGGCTTGTCGAAGTTCGGTATCCGAAGTCTACGCCACTTCGTGAGGTGAAAAGGTCAACAGCAGGCATTCTTCAATTAAGTGTTTGTTGTCATTCAACGACAGACTAGTTCAAAAAAAATTTACATTCTCCTGAAATACTTCACCAAACATCTTAGTTAGATGAAAAAAGGACCTCCTCTGCAAAAACATCAAAATGAATTACAGATTTCTTGAGTTATCTTAGATTAATTCTGACTCTTTTGAGGAAGTGTACTGGCTACTGCATCTCAAGAGGGACAAACTCTTTGCCGCTTTTTTCAAGCCAAATGTATTTTAAGGTAGTATGCGAGCACAGACGTTCACTTCGGCTAGCCGAGTTCTGCTAGGAGCAAACCGTATCTATGTACACGGACGCCTTTAGCCAGTGAAGAAAGAGAGACAAAAAGAGGGTGAGGAGATAGAGAGAGAGAGAGAGAGAGAGAGAGAGAGAGAGAGAAGAGAGAGAGAGAGGGTGAGGAGATAGCGAGAGAGGGTGAGGAGATAGAGAGAGAGGGTGAGGAGATAGAGAGAGAGAGATAGAAGAGAGAGAGAGAGAGAGACAGAGAGAGACAGAGAGAGAAGAGAGAGAGAGAGAGAGAGAGAGAGAGAGAGAGAGAGAGAGAGAGAGAGAGAGAGAGAGAGAGAGAGAGAGAGAGAAGATGTTCTTTCCTCTCGGCTGTGTGTTGTACAGAGATGGCTATCAGCCCCCAGTGATTAAAGAGGCGTCTCACTAAACTATGATCAATCGCAATTACACAGCCACTAATCAGCTGTGTGTGTTACACAGCCACTAATCAGGCCAGGGGAGTGGGCAGTGATTAACAAACAGCCTGCTAACCATTCCACCCACAATTCCCCTACATACTCCCTCATAGCCTATAACCTTATAGGACTTTCTATCAGTGCTGACTAAGCTAGTGACAGAGAACATGTCTACAGCAACGCGTCTCTTTCTTCCTAAGAGCGCGTGTGTGTGTTACCTTGGACAGGTCTCTGTAGTTGCTGGGCAGGGTGAGATCCAGGTCTTCAGTGTCGTAGTTTGTGATGACCCAGGGGAAGACAGGGTACTGGTTCAGGTCGTTGTAGGTACGGCCTGGAGGGAGGGAGGGAGGGAGGAAGGGAGGGAGACATAGGAGGACAGTCACAACAGTCTCAAATTAGTCAACATCATCATCAAACTTCTATCACTGAACATGTCTAGTAATCTAAATGTCTAAACACCAAACTCTCTTTTCCAATGTATTTTTGCTAACTCTGAAGAATATGAAGTAAGAGGAGGAAACCATGTTGGCCAAACAGAGTTTACAACATTTACATCATTGACCACATATGTTCATAATAGCTGGGTGCGTTGTCATTCCCTATGGTGACAGTCCAGTGATAGTGTGGTAACACTGGTCTTACCAGAGATGGTGTTGAGGAAGATGAGGTACTCAAAGTTGGAGATCTCTCTGCGCTGCCAGCGCTGGGTCATGTTGGAGGCCTTGTAGAGCTGCTTGGGACTGGCCTGGGAGATACGCCTGGAGGAGGGAGAACACACACCGTCTGGTTAGATACTGGGCTCTCTGGTTAGATTCTGGGCTCTCTGGTTAGATACTGGGCTCTCTGGTTAGATACTGGGCTCTCTGGTTAGATACTGGGCTCTCTGGTTAGATACTGGGCTCTCTGGTTAGATACTGGGCTCTCTGGTTAGATACTGGGCTCTCTGGTTAGATAATGGGCTCTCTGGTTAGATCTGGACTCTCTGGTTAGATACTGGACTCTCTGGTTAGTACTGGGCTCTCTGGTTTAGATACTGGGCTCTCTGGTTAGATACTGGGCTCTGGTTAAGATTCTGGGCTCTCTGGGTTAGATTTCTGGGCTCTCTGGTTAGATACTGGGCTGCCCTGGGTTAGATTACTGGGCTCTCTGGTTAGATACTGGCTCTCTGGTTAATACTGGACTCTCTGGTTAGATACTGGGCTCTCTGGTTAAGTTACTGGGCTCTTGGTTAGATACTGGACTCTCTGGTTAGATACTGGACTCTCTGGTTAGATACTGGGCTCTCTGGTTAGATACTGGGCTCTCTGGTTAGATGCTGGGCTCTCTGGTTAGATGCTGGGCTCTCTGGTTAGATGCTGGGCTCTCTGGTTAGATGCTGGGCTCTCTGGTTAGATGCTGGGCTCTCTGGTTAGATGCTGGGCTCTCTGGTTAGATGCTGGGCTCTCTGGTTAGATGCTGGCTCTCGTAGATCTGCTCTCTGGTTAGATACTGGGCTTCTGGTTAGATACTGGACTCTCTGGTTAGATACTGGACTGTCTGGTTAGATTCTGGGCTCTCTGGTTAGATACTGGACTCTCTGGTTAGATACTGGGCTCTCTGGTTAGATACTGGACTCTCTGGTTAGATACTGGACTCTCTGGTTAGATACTGGCTCTCTGTTAGATACTGGGCTCTCTGGTTAGATACTGGGCTCTCTGGTTAGATGCTGGGCTCTCTGGTTAGATACTGGGCTCTCTGGTTAGATTCCAGGCTCTCTGGTTAGATGCTGGGCTCTCTGGTTAGATTCTGGGCTCTCTGGTTAGATTCTGGACTGTATATGAGTCCATAAGTACTGGCAAATAAGATATTTTGACCCCAAGACATTGACAACATCTTCAAAGAAAAACCTTTCAGACCCACTGTGAATTATGAAAACATAACATAATCATACCAGAGGATTGGTGTGCTTTCAAGATTTCCCACTTCAATACTAACACTGATTCAGACCAAGGCCGTAGGCCTTAGTAAAGTCTCTAAATGCAAATGTTCTAATATTAGATAGTTATTGATATTTAGGCTCAGTAAATTAAAAAGAAAAATGTGCAATGAGTAGGGTTATTTCTTCTTCACACACATACACACACACACTGATCCCCCCCGCAGCACACACACACACACACACACTGATCCCCCCCGCAGCACACACACACACACACACTGATCCACCCACACACATACACACACACACTGATCCCCCCCCCGCAGCACACACATACACACACACACTGATCCCCCCCCGCAGCACACACATACACACACACACTGATCCCCCCCCGCAGCACACACATACACACACACACACTGATCCCCCCCGCAGCACACACATACACACTGATCCCCCCCCGCAGCACACACATACACACACACACTGATCCCCCCCGCAGCACACACATACACACACACACTGATCCCCCCCCGCACACACACATACACACACACACTGATCCCCCCCCGCAGCCACACACACATACACACACACACTGATCCCCCCCGCCCACAACACCACACATATCACCACACACACACACGATCCCCATCCCCCGCAGCACCCACCTGTCCCCCCCCCAGCACACACACACACTACACACTGATCCCCCCCCCCGCAGCACACACACACACACACACTGATCCCCCCCCCGCAGCACACCATACACACACACACTGATCCCCCCCACACACACACACACTGATCCCCCCCCGCAGCACACACATACACACCACACTGATCCCCCCCCAGCACACACAACACAACACACACACTGATCCCCCCCCGCAGCACACACATACACACCACACACACACTGATCCCCCCCCGCAGCACACACATACACATCACACACACACTGATCCCCCCCCCACCACACACACACACTGATCCCCCCGCACACACACACACACACACACTGATCCCCCCCCGCAGCACACACATACACACACACACTGATCCCCCCCCCCCCCGCAGCACACACATACACACACACACTGATCCCCCCCCGCAGCACACAACTACACACACACACTGATCCCCCCCCCCCCCTGCAGCCACACGTACACACACACACTGATCCCCCCCCGCAGCACACATACACACACTGATCCCCACCGCAGCACACACATACCACACTGATCCCCCCCGCAGCACACACATACACTGATCCCCCCCCCTCAGCACACACATACACACACACACTGATCCCCCCCCCCGCAGCACACACATACACACACACACACTGATCCCCCCCGCAGCACACACACACACACACACTGATCCCCCCCGCAGCACACACATACACACACACACTCGCAGGCACCCGGAGCATGACTTATGCTGGGGGACTTAAACAAATGACCCCCAATCCAATTAAAACAAAGTCAAATTATGGAATTAATCACTGTCACAGTGTGAGATTATAGTCATTAGGCCAGCAGAAAGTCACAATCACCCCTTTACAACTCCCAGTTTATAGCTCCAAAACACTGAACAAACGTTAGGGCAACATCTCTGAATTGTACACAAGGCAGCTAAAATGCTAACCCATATGAAGGTTAGGCCAGAGAACAAATGCTAGGGTGATCTCGTTTCTTTATAGGTACCTAAGATGCTGTCTGAATGTTAGGTCCAAGGTTTTTGAGACATTAACGTATAGTGGAAGAGAGGTTGGGGTGAAGCCTAGGTAGTCTATATACCTAAAGAAAACTGTCTGAATGTTAGGCTAATGTTTTTGCAACACTGGTGTGGATGTGAGGCTGTGGCAAACATTATAGTGTGAGGTAGAGGTACTGTAGGCTGTGGTAAACATAGTGTGAGGTAGAGGTACTGTAGGCTGTGGTAAACATTATAGTGTGAGGTAGAGGTACTGTAGGCTGTGGTAAACATTATAGTGTGAGGTAGAGGTACTGTAGGCTGTGGTAAACATTATAGTGTGAGGTAGAGGTACTGTAGGTTGTGGTAAACATTATAGTGTGAGGTAGAGGTACTGTAGGTTGTGGTAAACATTATAGTGTGAGGTAGAGGTACTGTAGGGTTGTGGTAAACATTATGTGTGAGGTAGAGGTACTGTAGGCTGTGGTAAACATTATAGTGTGAGGTAGAGGTACTGTAGGTTGTGGTAAACATTATAGTGTGAGGTAGAGGTACTGTAGGCTGTGGTAAACATTATAGTGTGAGGTAGGGTTACTGTAGGCTTGTGGTAAACATTATAGTGTGGAGGTAGAGGGTACTGTAGGCTGTGGGTAAACCATTATAGTGTGAGGTAGAGGTACTGTAGGCTTGTGGTAAACATTATAGTGTGAGGGTAAGGTACTGTAGGGCCTGTGGTAAACATTATAGTGTGAGGTAGAGGTACTGTAGGCTGTGTAAACATTATAGTTGTGAGGTAGAGGTACTGTAGGTTGTGGTAAACATTATAGTGTTAGTGTAAGAGTACTGTAGCTGTGGGTAAACATTATAGTGTGAGGTAGAGGTACTGTAGGTTGTGGTAAACATTATAGTGTGGGTTAGAGGTACTGTAGGGCTGTGGGTAAACATTATAGTGTGAGGGTAGAGGTACTGTAGGTTTGGTAAACAGTTAGTGTTATAGTGTGAGGTAGAGGTACTGTAGGCTGTGGTAAACATTATAGTGTGAGGTAGAGGTACTGTAGGTTGTGGTAAACATTATAGTGTGAGGTAGAGGTACTGTAGGCTGTGGTAAACATTATAGTGTGAGGTAGAGGTACTGTAGGCTGTGGTAAACATTATAGTGTGAGGTAGAGGTACTGTAGGCTGTGGTAAACATTATAGTGTGAGGTAGAGGTACTGTAGGCTGTGGTAAACATTATAGTGTGAGGTAGAGGTACTGTAGGTTGTGGTAAACATTATAGTGTGAGGTAGAGGTACTGTAGGCTGTGGTAAACATTATAGTGTGAGGTAGAGGTACTGTAGGCTGTGGTAAACATAGTAGTAGAGTTGTAGGTGGTAATATAGTGTGAGGTAGAGGTACTGTAGGCTGTGGTAAACATTATAGTGTGAGGTAGAGGTACTGTAGGCTGTGGTAAACATTATAGTGTGAGGTAGAGGTACTGTAGGCCGTGGTAAACATTATAGTGTGAGGTAGAGGTACTGTAGGTTGTGGTAGAGGCTGTATAATGTCATGCCGAGGGAGTAGTGATGGTGTGTTGGTGTGAGAGCAGGACTGGGCTGTACAGCTGTCTCCAGGTCAAAGAGACACGGTGCCCCCGGCCGAGCTACACCATGTTGATTAATGGGACTGACACACACACACACACACACACTCTCTCTCTTATACACGCACGCACGCACACACACACAAACAGATACACGCAATCACACATTTCAACACTCTCTCATGGGTTACAAAATGGATGATCACTATCATCTCCACACTTCCTAGGGACCCTGATTGTGCATTACCGAAGACGCCAACTATGCAGCAAAACACTGGGATCCTCCTTGGGAATTTTCTTGGACATTTCTCAATTTCCATTCAGTCTTTGGCTTGGCTACAGCCATGACAGCGCAGTGGACTGGCTGGACTTGGCTATGGTAGGGTGCTGCAGACGTAGACTCATAACAACATGCAACACTCCTACCAGAGGGAAGGTGTATGTGTTCTGGCCTGCTCTGGCCACCCTGCTATCTAGTTCTCAGAGAGGGAGATAAATAAATGATCTGGACTGTGTTTGTGTGAAGTCAATTACGCTAGACAAGAGGAGAAGGGAGTGGGGAGATAGTTGGAGGGGAGGGAGGGTATGCCCACTCTATACCTTGGACGGTGTGTGTGTGTGTCCAATTAGCCTCTGTTTCTTTTTGAACTTTCTCAGTTTCTTTTTCTCTTAATTTTTCATTCTTTCCCTCTCTCTCTTTCTTTCTTTTCCACTCTTTCTGTGGTGGTTTTCTCAGACCGTACTGAAGCGTGACGGTGTGACACGTGAAATGCCAGTGTTACACGCTAAGCCCAACAAGTGTTTAGTGTCAACTGACAAGAGACAAAGTGGGGACGAACACATACCAACCCTCCACTGCAGAAAAGTAGAGAAATATGGAGAGAAATAGACAGTGAGATAGAGAGATAGAGAGAAAGAGAGAGAGAGAAGAGAGAGGGCGAGAGATAGAGAAAGACTGACCTGGTCTGTGGGAGGCCAAAGTTGGTGCCCACCCCCACGCGAGGGAGGCATTGGACCACCTTCTTGACCGTGGCTGCATCTGGGAAGTTGAACATGACTGCAGCTACACAGGAAGACAAACAAGTTCTGTCAAACCATGGCTTGGTTTCCACATATAATGGAATAGCTTTACATTCAAAATAATATAGAAATGAATCCCAACATCAAACCTGTACTCTTTCAAAAAGATCTTGGCAAAGATACTGTTCACACATTTGCCTTTCAGATTAAAATCCAAACTCATATCATAATTTAAGGGTTGAGATTCTACTGAATAGTACTAGAATAAAACAGGCTGGAGGTGGGTCTTACTTCTGTTGGCCATGAAGATCTCCAGAGCAGTGTTCTGCAGCAAGTAACGTCTGGAGAAGACAGCCCTGATCTCTGTGAACAGCCATTTACCATGGAGGCCCTCTGTGTAGGTCAGGATCTGGAGAGGAGAGGAGAGGAGAGGAGAGGGGAGCAAGACAGGAGAGTAGTAAAATAGGAGAAGCGGAGAGGGTAAGGAGAGAGAAAACCGACGATAAGAAGAACAGAACGAGCAGAGAGAAAATGAGAGAGAAAAAGGAGAAATAAGAGAGAAGAAGAGAAGAAAAGGAATAATAGAGAATAATCGAGAGAAGAATGAAGAGAGAGAGACAGTAAAAAGAAGAGAGGAGAGAGAGGAGAGAGAAGAATAGCATGATATCTAGTAGATAGAAGAGGTAGAGCCTAGAAGACAGACCTCTCTCATGAGGCGATCTCTATTCTGCGTACTAATTTCATTCTCCTGCCTCGCTCCTCAGTCTCCTCTCTCAGATCTCCCTCTACCTCTTTCTATCTCCTTGATTTTACTCTTCCTATACGAACTACTGCGCTTAATAAGGCTGTGTTAGTTCATTCATCACAGCCAGATGACGCGTCGTCCCGAACAGCAGGATTAATGTTTTATATTGATCAGCCTCCATGAAAAAGGAATACCTTTAACAAGAGAATGAGCCCTATTCAGAGGGAGGGATGGAGGAGGCAGACGTTTAGTTCACTAAAAGCTCATCAGTAATTTAGACAGCGGATATCCTCTCTGTATAAAAAATATAAAAAAATGATGTCAAGATCATTTCAAGTACGCACCAATAATCAGAGTCAAAAAAGTATTACCTCACTGAAGAGTACCTATTGCAAGGCCAAACGTAAAGTGTGTTTACAAAACAGTCATATGTAGTTCAAACAAACTATAATGCCAAAGCAAACTGCCCATTTAAGTGGTTTTTAATGGCTCAGATTTTCCCCAGATTAAGGCCGTTTTGACCAGCCAGGTCACCCGTGATACAAGTCAGTATTCGACATCCACCCATGCCTGAGGACGTCGGCAGAGGACGTGTAAACCGGCCACTAGAGGCAACAGTGAGCGCTGTTACCTTCAAGTAGGTTTCGGTTTTGCTAGGGCATTGTGGATGGGGATGGTGGATGGGTAAGCCCTATTCAAAGACACCAAAGGTTGCAAGTTCGAATCCAGCGATAGAAAGTCGTTTTTGAGATTTTTGTTTTAAGCCTATCCCAAACCTTAACCATTTTTTACATTTTAGTCATTTTAGCAGACGCTCTTATCCAGAGCGACTTACAGTTGGTGAGTGCATACATGTTTTGTTTTTTTGTTTGTTTTTAATACCCTTACCTTAACCTTTCAGAGTTAATGCCTAACGTTAAGATTTCGGAGTTATTGCCTAAACTTAACCTTAAACACTTCGAAATTTGAAGTTTGCAACAACTTCGAAATTTGACGTTTGATAAAACAGATTCCCAGAGCCAGCTGTCCTGCAGTGTAGCAGGTGAGGACCAGAGAGAGTGAGGCGATCCTGAAGATTTGGACAGTATGAGTTTGGTGGAGATCAGACAGGCTGTTGGGTCCATGACCCTGTCCCTATCCAGCACAGACTCCAAGGAGAGGTACTTTGACCGGGTGGATGAGAGCGACCCTGAGTACCTCCGCAGCAGGAACATGTCACCTGAAATACGGCAGGACTTCAACATGATGGCGCAGAAGAAGAGAGTCACTCAGATTCTACAGAGTCCAGTATGTCGCTTGTTCTCTATGTCTATGTTGATGTGTGTTCACAGTAATGTCACTTTCATTATCTGGTTGTAGACCATCAAATGGCCTGAAAAGTTTTGCTCTTCGAGATCCAGGCCTATGTCGTTGGCTCTTGTAGAGACACTACACCATTGATGTTTTCATTCTGATGGCAAAAACATTTAATCAACCGGCACCATGTTTGTACAGTGTTAATCTTTGTTGCAATGCAGTGAAATGTGCTACTGTCAGAGGAAACAATATTAAATATTAACCAGTCCAAAAATAAATGTAAGCTTTATAATACATTCCCTGACCAAGTTCACAGCTTAGCATTATTAAAGGTCCAATGCAGCCGTTTTTATTTAAATATCAAATCATTTCTGGGTAACAGTTAAGTACTGTAGTGTTTTCAATTAAAATGGTCAGAAAGCAACAAAAAATTGCTTCTTAGCAAAGAGCTATTTTCTCAAGCAAGAATTTTGCTAGGACTGTCGGAGAGTGGTCTGAGTGGGGAGGAGAAGTCCCCTGTAGCTCAGTTGGTAGAGCATGGCGCTTGCAACGCCAGGGTTGTGGGTTCGTTTCCCACGGGGGCCAGTATGAAAATGTATGCACTCACTAACTGTAAGTCGCTCTGGATAAGAGCGTCTGCTAAATGACTAAAATGTAAAATGTATAAACATGGATGAACGTCTAATTCTGACGTGGGACTGTGAGAGCTAGTTGGGTTTAACAATGCTTTGTGAAGAGTGCTACTGGGTCAACAGCACAGTTTATGCTAAACAGTCATTTAGCCTGCTTTCTGTAATTCCTCTAACAAGGGGACTGCCACCTTGCAAGGTTAAACAGTAGCTTGTCAGCTAACGCTAAAGAATGCAAAAATGCTCAAATGAGCTGAGCCTAATCTCTCTCTGAGGTTGTCAGAGTGACTTGTCTCAAAGCCTGTCAGCCCTCCTGACAGCCACAGATGCTCAGTCTGGCCTCCTGCGATTCATATTCAAGCTAATCCAATCTTTAGCTTCTGCGCTAACCCACTTATCGTTGCTTTGTTGACTAGCTTCTTTTTTTTTTTACTCGCCCGTGCCTCTCCCTTTTTGTTTCAAAGCTCTTTTAATGACGGTAGGTGTCAAGAGACATGGGGATTGAAGAGGGGTCACTGAGGTATGGCACCAAGGGGTTAGAAGCTGTGGTATTAATCAGAAATATTCAAATGTGCGGCTAGCATAGCGTGCTAACTCCAGCACTAGCTTCAAGGAGCTCATTAAAGGGTAGGTTGCAGTGGAAGGGAGCAGCTGGGGCTCTTAGCTGAGGACGGCCTGGCAGTCTCTCTCGCTCTCTCCATCTCCCTGTCTTTTTCCTTCCCCCTCCCTCTCTTTCCATCTCTCTTTCCTCCCTCTCTTTCTCTCTGTTGCCTCCATACCTCGCTCTCTCTTTGTTGCCTCCATACCTCTCTCTCTTTCCTCCCTCTCTCTCTCTCTGTTGCCTCCATACCCCTCTCTCTCTCTCTATCTCCTTCTACCCCATGCTCTCTCCCCTCCCTCTCTCTCTCTCTATCTCCTTCTACCCCCTGCTCTCTCCCTCCCCTCTCTCTCTCCCACTGCCCTCCTCTCAGAGGAATAAGACCTGCCTGCACCGCAGCCTCACTTCAAAGTCTCTGGAGTTCAATTAAATGTGGATTAGAGAGGTTTGGAGGAGAGACTGGGCTGCCCGTCCGTCTCTCTCCCAGACTCTCACCTACACTACCCTAACAGGCTGGGCCTAGGACGACCCCACACCGTACCAGCCTCCCATCAGCCCCGTCACCATGGAAACACTGTCACAATAACCCCTCAAGCTGTGGCTTCTGGTACAGTATATCCAAAAGGATTTATAAAGGGATTTTCTTTAATTGGGTGTCAAAGTTAGAGATATTTGCGAAAGATAATATTACGTATTTTCTATGAAGGTTTTAGAGGGATCTAGGTGAGAAAGAATGATATTTTTGTCTGTTTTCTTCCTCATATGTTTGATTAGTCTATTTTTTATGAAGTCTTAGTGGATCTAGGTGAGTCTTCAGTTTGATTTGTCAGTTAGATTTTTATTCAATTATGAAAATCACATCTCGTCATCTTTCAGCCACTCATGGACTGATCTCCACACTGCAGGCAAGGCAGGCAATGACTGTCTACAGCACCCACCACTCCCTGTGATACAATTAACCCCATTTGAGCAGTGTTAACGCACTGCATTATACACACTGCCACCCACAGCCACAACAGAGCATGACACAACAACACTGTCTGTGGGACTGGGGGAGGACCGGGGGATGTGTTACACTGCAGTCTGCACCACGCCAATCAAGAAACATTTATTTTAGTAATATACTGTATTCTCGTTAATGTATGATCATCACCATGTAATTACAAATACATCAATGATGTATAACAACACAATGTCTAAATAACCAGATATGACAGTCTAAAATAAAGCCTGTCATAGAAGGAAGCGTTCTGGTCTGCGTGTCTCCAGCCCTGTCCTGTCTGTCAGAGTCTGTTTACCAGTCTGGGATTTGAAGGTTATGACAAACAGACTCAGACAGACAGACAGACAGACAGTTGGATCAGTCTGACTTCTCTATCTGCTGTGAGGACGGCGAGACAGAAAGGGTGGCCATCAGGTTCACATGTCAACAACACCGACCACTCACCACACTACATGACACAGACACACACACACACACACACACACACACACACACTGCCTCCTCAACCACATTACATGTCATCTCTCAGTGCTGGAATGTCACTTTCCACCTCCAAGTATCAGGTCAGAAACGCAGTAGTAGACAATTTCATGTAGAGGTGAAAATGTAGATGGAAGGGTGGGTGGGTGAGTAACCTTTACTCTCTATTCCAGGGGTTCATTTCTACACCCCAGGGTGTTTCCACTGATACTCTCCTCCTCGGTGTGAGTACTTGTCTGTGAGGCACTGAGGGCTAAATTGAGGATGTTGCGGCCACTCTCTCAGAGTGTAAATAGATATGACAGGTCTAGAAGCGACGCCGCTCGTCGCCTCATATCATACTTTGAACCCGACCGATGCATCTTCACTCCAAAAACCAATCCAGATATAATATTTGAGACTGCTGCTTTTCAGAGACCCTATCTTGTAATGAATTCCCCATGTTCCAGGGCGGGAGTCAACATTCCCTCCCTCTCCTCCACAGACACCTTTTCCCTTGCAGATGAAAAAGCTCGGAGGGTGACACGATAAACTATCCAGGGGAGAGAAAGGTGCGCCGCCTATGACCCACTTGGTTGAAGCGGCTGCTGGACAAATTGCAGCGGTGAGGCCGTTATTGTCCGGGCCTGGAGTTATTGCTACATATGATTGGGCTGTGATAGATAGAGGAGGGGTCAGTATAAAGCAGATAAGGAGAGGAGAGGAGAGGAGAGGAGAGGAGAGGAGAGGAGAGGAGAGGAGAGGAGAGGAGAGGAGAGGAGAGGAGAGGAGAGGAGGAGAGGAGAGGAGAGGAGAGGGAAATCACTAAAGGAGAGTGGAGTCAGACACTGGACCAAAACAGAGTAATAAACAATTAAACAAAGGTGGTTGTGGTAGAGAAGGTACCTAAAATATATTCCAGAGAATTGTAGATATTACTTTATTCTACTCTTTATTTGAAAGGGCCATACACTGGAATAAAGTACCATAGTGGTATAAACTGTATGCCTCCTAGTGTCTCAGAGTCTCCGACTGCATCTATACCGAATGGCTCCAGACTGCAGGTGTTTGTGGCTGCAGCCCTCCAGGCCTCTATCAGTCTCCATGACTGGCCCTGAAGGCCTTGAAGGTGAAACACCACCACCACTCTAACTCCCCTCAACCTCCTCCAGATGTGGCCACAAATGGCCCCTGTTGATTGGCCTGTCGCCTGAAGGCGGCCTCTCCTGATTGGCTTGTCGTCTGATGGAGTGCTTATTGAATTAATGCAGAAGTCAGTCTCGGAACACACAATTCCAAGGACCAATGAAGCAGGGAGAGAAAGAATGGACTGTGTAGTATGGGACTGTTGAGGGATAATAGTTTGTATTGACATAGAATAGAATGGTTTTGATAGAAAGCCAATGATAATGAAAAATATTGACATATATCTTGAGAGGAAAGGGATCGCTTCCTTGAAAACTAGTCGAAGAAAAATGCAATATATGCATTTCTCAAAGACAAAAGCTCTGCAGGGTTGCAAAAAATATAAAAGCCCTAGCCATCTTCACACTTATGCATTTCATTATGGCTTAATATAGCTTTCTCGTCCCCTGTGACCGGTACAGCAACTCCCATCAATTCAGCTCTCTGACTCCAAGCTGGATTTCAAAGCGACTGACACCACAGAGGACGCATGCAGCCAAACAGAACAACAGAAGGCTTTGAGAGTCTCGATTGTGAAGCTTTTTTCTCCTCTCTCTCACACAATCACACACACTCTCCCTCTCTCTTCCATCTCTCTCCCCCTCTGCCGCACTGGGAGCTATTCAACCTGTTTGTGCCTGGGCTGCTGGTCATTTCTGAAGCACTATCGTTTGTCTCTGTCAGACACCCAAACGACTCTGGAATGAAGAGGGACACATGAAGGGGGACCGGGGGAGAGATGTGCCCCTACCAACCCCCCTAGCTACCAACCGCTATCCGACACACACACACACACACATCTCTCAGCCGATCCCTGCCAATGGACCTACTCCATCACACCCTTTCCTCCCCAGAAATGACACCCACCAACATGCCCCTCCTCACCCCCGACTCTTCAAACAACGCTTGCTGCTGATGTCAAGTGTTTTTTTTAAAGATCCTATTCTGGATTTTCTATTTCGTACTTCTGATATTGAACTATGCATTGTTGAGGAAGAGCTTGTAAGTAAGCATTTCACCGTGCGGTTTACATCTGTAGTATTCTGTCATGTGACAAATAAACTGGTTTTGATT